GATTTCCAGGTTTCGAGGACTTTTTGTGCACAGGCAGCGATGTGTGTGTAACAGACCAGAGCCCGCTGTACGGACTGGACTGTGAAATGGTGAGTCCATCCATCCATCCATCCATCCATCCATCCATCCATCCATCCATCCATCCATCCATCCATCCATCCATCCATCCATCCATCCATCCAGTAGGGAGGTCCAGACGTCCCTCCCCCCAGCCACTTGGGCCAGCTCCTCCGCGGGAATCCCAAGGCGCTGTTTTTATATTCATTTTGTTCTATTTTGTCATTCCTTAGCTCTGAATGTAAAGAAATAAAACCAAGCTTCAAAATGTGTTTTTCCCAGACTCTTTTTTCCAGACTTTCCGAACTTTATAAAAGCATAAAAAGAAAGAGCTTTATAAATAGGATTTATTTTCCGTGTCACTATACCTGACAGATTTATCAGTCTGCCATAATTAATATTTTTGTTGTCATTTTTCAAAACACGGGTTCCCTATTTCAATATTTGTGGTAGCAAAATATAGTCCTTTAGGCTAACGTAGTCATAATAGTGTAAACAAAGGATATTGTTTCATGTTATGTTTATTGATGAAATAATGAAAACTTGAATCTAAATTAAAAATTTACTGTTACCACAGAATATGGTCAGATTCCACAATCTCAAAATAAGAAAATCATATTAAGAAAACAACCTTAAACCTGCTTTATGGTGAGATTGTGACAAAAAGAAACAAATGCAGGGGAAAAAAAGGTACCTTGGAATGGACTTCGAAACTATTCTGTCACCAAAACTGAAACCTAATATTTAAGTTTATTATTAAAACATGATTTGAAAATGAGATATAATCAGTTTAGATTCATTTAATCTCAAGATGGTGATGTCATAACTCCATCATGCATGTTTAAAATTACATGTTGTAATAGCAGGATAATGACAAAATAATGCAAGTTTGAGGTTTCATTATCAAAATAAAGGAATTCAAACTACTTTCATCTGAAGATAATAAAAACAGAAGTGGCTAAAATGAGCTTCCAGACTCTGTTATCAAAACAGGTCACTAAAACAATTGTAAACGATGCCGTCACAATATCTTAAGATACTACAATGAAAAAGAAATGTACAAAAAGAAAACATGTTTCAGATTGTGCTATCTCAAGATTATGAGATATTTCTATTGTTTTATCAACTAAATGAGATGCAAACAATCAACATCAAGTATTAAGAATCAAAACATGGCACAATAAACTACAGTTGTAACAAGCTGTCACTATCTCAAGTAAGCAACACAATAGACTATGACCATTACATACTGAGCCTGAGATGCTAAGGATTGTTTTTACAGTATCAGATCATTTCCATGACAGCAATTGGCTAGAGATGGTTAAATCTCAAAATAAAGTATCTCAATTTTAAATGGGAAACATAAAATACTAACTGTACTTGTTATTTAAAACAATACCTGAACATAATGGGATTAGGAAGTAGAATGAGAGACAAAAGTAACCTTTTAGAATTCCAAGATGAAGAGTCAGAGCTTGATAGTTGTAACTTCAAAGAACAAGGTCTGACTTATTTTGTGACAAAGTGATAATGCAATGAAACCAATAACATGACCAGCTGGACAACCTCAAATAGTAATAATACAACAAGCTTGAGATCTTGTTATCTTCAATAATCAGATAATCAAATTGTTGTTTCTGAAAATTGTGTTACTATAGCAGATCTGAATAAAGATTTTTTATTTTGTTGTGTTTTTATATAAAGAAATGGAACAGTAAAGCTTCAAAATACCGCAGCAATCAAACTGTTGTCACAAAAAAAGTGCCAGAGGTCTTGTTATATGAAGATAATAAAGTAAAAAAAAAGATAGTTTTAATTAAAAACAAACTAACAAAAGCTCTCGGTAGAGATTTTGGTTTCTCGTGGTAATGACACAGTCATCCTCAAGGCACCATTATCTCTTTATAAGACATCAAAACTTTTATTGTGACAAAAAGTATAGCAGCTTGAGATGTAACTCTTAAAATTAGGAATGAGAAATGTTGCTGTAACAATCCCTCAAGTTCATGCAGATGATGAGATAAAGAAACCGTTATGGAATAATTGTCTGTAGTTGGATAAATATATAATAAGATTTTTTTTTTATTGTAGGATATATTTTAAAATGTGTTTTTTGTTGGTCAAATGAAACAAAGAAACCATAATTGTAACAATCTGTCTGAAAAAAACATCCTAAAAAACAAATGACAGAATTATTGATAATAACTTAGATGCACCCAAATTAATGAAAAAATGCAACTGTTTTTGGTATTTACTTAACCATATTTAGTTACTTTCACATAATTTTTCATGTGAGCAGGGTAGGACATAAAACAATTGTGTTAAAGTAAATAAATATGACTAAGTAAATGCCAAAAGCGGGTACATTACTTTTTTCAGGGTGTCAAGGCTTTTACTATTTATAATGCAATAATACAAAACTGAATGCAAAAAAAGAGAGAAATGAGTGAGGATCACAATAGTTCTGACCTGTATGAAATATTTAAAACATCAACTACATCTTTTCTCAAATCTGAATCTAAAATTTAAAACAAAAATTGTTCAGAAAACAGAGTTTTTCAATATTTTGCTTGCAGCATGAATATTTTATGCTTTCATTGAAAAAAACAACAACACAAATATAATGCATAAATATGAACTCAAATTAAGCAGGAGTTAGAGGCATCTCCAACTTTGAGAGGCCATATGATGATCACAAAAAGGAAAAAGTCAGTTGAACCAGCTTATGATTAATTCAGCAGAACTTTAACTGGAGCTTGAGTACGCAGGGACAATGAGGATAAAAAGAGGAGGACAAAAAAAATAAAAAAAAGCATTGAGAGGAGGCATCAAACCACTGCTCCCTGTTTCATGCCCCAGCAGAGGAGAAAGAAACAGCTAAGTCAGAGTGGGTGTGTGTAGCCTTATATCTGTGTTGTCCCCGCCTCGTATGTGACAGCTTGCAGCCGTGATGGGACCCCATGGGAGCGGGCAGCGGATTCACTAACCTGCCGGTGTCTGAGAGGCCGACGCGCGCCTCCAATCTGGTGGTCACATGGGGTGGAGGAGGAGGTGTGTTTGTGTTGGTGATGATGGTGGGGGTGTCGATGATAATGGGAAGGGGGTTACTTAGATTATTAGGGTGCTGTAGAGGCCGATGCGCGGATCAAACTGCTGTGTGGGATGGAGCACAATGGCATTTCACGCATATTAGGGAGACAATTGGGCAAAAATGGCGCTTTGACGCCTTTGAATCACGCTGCTTGAACTTTTGTTCGCGATTTTCAAAGACTATTAAAAGTTATTTCCAACTATCAATTCCTTGCATGACTTCACCGGTTAAAAATTGGAGGCAGAATGTTTTTTTTTTTTTGTTGTTTTTTCCTGATTTAAGGGTTAAAAAAAGTGTAGAGAAATAATCGGATTTTTGAAAGAAGTTTGACCAAACTCACTTTATTGAAATAAAAAAAAAAACTTGTAAATGGACCAAAAGTGCCAAATTTAAAGGTTGAATTACCAACACATAATGACAGCTATATAAAGAAACAACAGTCTGCAACAGTCTGAAATAAAACAAAAAGTTTCAAACATATTTTTGGTTTTTCATTGATTTAATTCACTTTTTGAATTCGATATTGCAAGAACAGGTATAAATGCCTGAATAAACAAAGACACAAATAAATTCCAGTAATGAAGATGTAGCAATAGCACAAGACAGAATAACCTAAATTATATTTCAAAACCATTTTTAAAATGAGTAATTATAATTGATTTGATCTCTATGTAGGCTACTATTTTCTAAATAAGAACAAACATTTAAAGCCTTTTAAAAAACAAAAATGTTACGAAAATATCGCACACACCAAAATATTGTATTAATTCGTTTATATTACATAAAAACAAATTATATATGTTACTCATAATAATCATGATAATAATAAATCCATTTGAAGCTAATTGAAAATACGATCAATACAAATAAAAATGGGAACGATTGAATAAAAAACAACAACAACAACAAATCAACAGACAGCAGATGCTAAACTGTGAAGCACTGAAAAGAAAAATTTGAGCAAGGAGGATCCTTCTTCCTTTTTTAGGAGGTGGGAAACAGATCCTGTGAAAGAAGAAGGGAATCGAGGAGAAAAAGAGCGAGCCGCTCCTCATAATAACCCCATTATGAGTCTCATCAATGATGTAATGAAAGCAAACAGTGTGAAAATTGCCTGTAAACAGTTGGATCTGAGTCTCCTGATGAATTCACTGTCTCTTTTATCAAAGTGAGGATGAGCCAGAGAGGAGAGGACAGAGGGAGAGGTAGGAGGGGAGGAATGGGGAAGGAGGGGAGGTCCACTTCCAGTTCCCCTCAGCCAATCAAGGCTTGTCACAGGGGACTCACGTGGACGAGTCGCTCTTAAAACCTAGCCCCTGACTTTTCCTCAAGTTCAATTTTTTGGGATTCCCTCCCACCCCAGCCGCATCAAGTCGCTTTTACTTTTCCAGTTGTCACTATTTAACCCAGTTTATCTCTCCCTTTTCTTTCGTTTTCTTTTTTTTAACTCTGCGACGCGCTTCCTCTTCTGGCTCTTTCTCACTTTAACAACAGCTCTGGACTCTTCTCTCACTCAACTTAAGCATTTTAAATCGCCTTTTAGCTGCTTTGCTTCAAAGGAATGCCACCGGTTTCCCAGAAGATTCTCCGGTAGGGGAGCTGAGAATCCTGCGCCGGTCTCTGTCCATGGTGCTGAAGCGCACTAAGCAGAAGACTCCCGCTGCTGCTGGAAGAATTTCCTCCTCATCAGGAAGCGGCTCATCGCCCTGCATAGACTTTTTTCTTTTTTTCTTCTTTTTTTTTGTGTGTTTATTTAAAATCGAATCGCTTGTTGTACCAGCCGCGTTCTCACAAACAAGAAAATCGGATAAACGGACGATTTCTCTTTTAATTTCAGCTGGAACTATTTCCCTTTAAAGAGCCAATAGGGAAACTGGAAGTAAAGCGGATGAAAATAAGCAACAACGGTGCGTTTCCAGGATCGACGTCCAAGATAAATCATCTTTCTTAGAATAAAATTGACACGTACTACCAAATGGTCATTTAAAGAAAAAAGAATTAAGGCCTCATCGGAACAATGGAGGCGTCCGCCAATGGGTCTAGTTTCGGCATCGACTCACTGCTGTCACACCGGCCCGGGAGCCCGTTGTCTAAGGGGGACGGCCTGCTTCCTGGGGAGTGCCGCTCGCCCCTGGAGTTCAGCCCCAGGTCGGACGTGGAGAGCGGCTGCTCGTCTCCTCCGTCGCCCCGGAGAGAGTGTGTAGAGGAGGCTGCCCAGAGACAAGTGCACGGCGCGGGACTGCCGCCGCACCTCCAGCACGCACAGATCTCCGCGGGCGCGCAGCAGCGAACCGTGACCTCCTCTTTCCTCATCAGGGACATCCTGGCGGACTGCAAACCGCTGGCCGCCTGCGCGCCCTACTCCAGCAACGGACAGCCGACGCAAGAGGCCGGCAGGCTGGCCTCCAAGATAGCGGATGACTTCATCGAAAAGATCCACAGCAACTCATCGTCGGACAGCGAATATAAAGGTAAAAACTCCAATTTATTGTTAAAGTATACGTAACTATTTTACAATTATTTATTTTTGAATTATTTCGATTTTCTTTCATCTTTGCAAATATATTTTTACTTTTTAAAGTTGACCTATAGGTTGGAAACTTTATTTTAGTGAAATGCAAAGAGGATCCTGCAACAAAGAAAACTAAAAAATGCACTAAATCAATTTAAAATCTAAAACGACTTTTTATATTTAATTAATTTAATAAAAAGAAAAACGCAAACTGCTACTTTTTAATTCAGGGTTTATAATTTTCTATTTGTATAATATTTATATATCATTCATCACTTATATTTAAAGTGTAGGTATTTATACATTTATTGTTGGGTGGTCTTGACACAGTCTCTAACTTATTTTTTATCTGGTCTTTGAACTCATCATCCTTGAACTCATTAAATTTCCAATCAGGTCTCTTTTCATGTGGCCGCTTCAAATTACATCGGAATATCCTGTTCTGATGACGAGGAAGAAGAAAACTAGCAGGGAACGGTAGAGATGACAGATAAATCCCATCAAGGCTCTCTGTTTCCAATCATGTCAGCAATAACACACATGTCACCTCCACTGACAGTTTATTAAAGCTATGGCTGAAGAAATTAGTCAATGTACTAAAGAATCACCATGTCATTAATGACAACATTTTAATTATATATAAACAATTCGTTATAATTACATGTTAGTTTGTGATATTTATCCGGTGGTATAATTTATTCCCAAAATTGAGGAATTATTATTTTTATTTATTTCCACATCTTCATCCGATTTGCTAATTATTAACCGATTTATTGGATTACTGATTGATAAAGGCAACAACGCGCACCTTTACTTTGATATCGCCGCCCGGATTGTCTCGCGGATTTGATCCAATTTGTCCAATTTTGGCGCTCTAATCAGATGTGTGAGTGAGCGCGGCTCATGATTTCCTTCCCTTCTCTGTGAAGTTGTGCCGGCCGCGCGTGAAAGGCTGCAGTCCCATCCCCTCGTGGCTCAATTAGGGGGATTATTATGGCGTTGCTTCCTGTGATGACTCCACTATTGAAGATCTCTCGCCGCGCTCGCTTCTGCTCGGTTTTCTCTCCCTTAGAATGGATTACAAGTAATCATGTATAGGATTTCTATGCACTGACACCACTCCACCAAGAACAAAGACTGGCGGCTCAGCGTGGGGGGAAATCAGATTTGAAATATGCATATTGGAAGAGTTTTTCATAACAATTTAAGGCCAAATCAAACAGCCCGACGGTCTGTAAAGATGATTTGCGCCTTTGAAACTACGAAATTAAATTTATGAATATTTACATTTTTGGGAAAATGTTAGTCGTTGTCACTTTGGTAGCCTATACCTAAATACAGGCGTTTTTTATATTATTATAAGAATAATATAAGTAATTTTAGCAACAAAAATAAAATAAAATAAAAAATTTAGGCAGGGGTTGCTTCTTAAGTGCACTGATTTCAATCAAAAAGAAATATATGTTTTATATACCAACAATTCTAAACACAAATTAATTTAAAGAGCGGTTATAATAAAGAGAGAACAAAATCTAGAAAAGCGCAAAAGTACCTAAAAGCTAGAAATACATGATCAAATTACACCAATACTCACATCCAATCAGAACAAATAATATATTTAAATATTAATATATTTTAAATTTCCCTGAGGCTTATTTACATCCGGGCATATGCTACGACTTTATCTTCAATGTGTAAATTCCTGGCAAAAATTAAATATTCTTAATTGGATAGAATTTTTATCTTTTTTTTTTTTTTAATAATTTTTATTGTTTAATAAATTCAAAATATCTCAGCTCTTAAGTGGTAAATTTGACCCTCCAATTGTCTTTCCTTCCTTGTTGTTTTTCCGAACAGTAAAAGAGGAGGGGGACAGGGAGATCTCCAGTAGCAGGGACAGTCCCCAGGTCCGGCTGAAGAAGCCCAGGAAGGCCCGCACGGCCTTCACCGACCATCAGCTGGCGCAGCTGGAGCGCAGCTTCGAGCGCCAGAAGTACCTGAGTGTCCAGGACCGAATGGAGCTGGCAGCGTCCCTCAACCTCACCGACACGCAGGTCAAGACCTGGTACCAGAACCGGAGGTGAGGATCCCACCCTCGGTGGTGCTGACTGGTTTTACACTGGGGCAGTTGGGGGGAGGATCAGAAAAGAGAAGGGGGGATAAGCTGGTTTCTCACCCATAAACGAGGAGGTTTTGGTTTTTTTCTTTGAGCTTCAGCCAGGAGGGAAAAGTTAATTTTCATAGCTGAGTCACATTGCCAGAGCTGATTTATCTGTTTTTTATTTCCATTTAAATCAGAACAAAAACATGATATTTTCCTTCTTCTTTCTTTTTTTTCTGCGTCTAATTTGTATTCCACCAGTTACAAGTTATCAAATATAGCTTTTATAATAATATCAGTATAAATTGTTAGAACCTGTTATACAAATTCTTCCAACTGAAACTGAATTTCAGTCTTTGACTTAGTGCACTGCCGCAAAGGGATTTTTTTTTTGTTTTTTTAAGTTCTGGGTTCTCAAATGAAGGAATGACAGAATATTTGACTCGTTTTCTGAGGTATTATTTATTTTTTATGAACCACTTCATGCTGCTTGGCTCTAATCTTGGTCCAATAACAAACCACAGACACTCTAAGGGTTAAATAATTTTCTACATTGAAAAATATTTTTTTTATGCATTTGTGTGTTACTGAATTTGCCCTAAAGGGTAACATAAATCAGTTTTAGAATAAAAGAGGAATATATTTTATCGTCCACATTGGGGATTTTCGGGGATTTCAGGTGAATTTCAGGAAATTGAAAGCATGTAGATACACACAGGTATAGGAAATATGAAAATAAAATTAGAAGTAAGGGGAAATCTAAAGTATGATAAAATGCCAGTTTAATGAATTTTCACCCCGATTTAGACATAAATACCAAACTAATTTGATATTATTGGTCCAAAATCTGGAAGAACTGAGTTAAAGAATATAACAAGATAAAAAAAAAAAATAACTTTGTCATGTTACAGCATGAAGTTAACAGTTGAGGCAAGTCAACTGATTAAAAAGTAAAACCAAACTGTTCCCTATATGCTTTGCACAGTTTGAAACCATTTTCTTAATACCCATTCGAGTAACATTTAAGACATATTTCTATTCAAAGTTATTCCCATAGAAGAAGGCTTTTATGACCTCCCACTCAGCTATAGTGCCCATTAAGGGAAAAACATACAGAGCAAACATATTTTATACAGTCTCAAATTAATTTCAATAGAAAACATTATAATTCAATATTTCTTGTCTGGAATAATTTACAAGAATAAAAGCATATTCTAGTAATGAAATCATATACCTATAATTTTATGTTTTATTTCACTTTTGAAAAGAAAAGTAAAATAGAAAGAATAACAGCAAGGAGGTTGACTACACCAATGATTACTTTTCTGTTTTTATCAAGATCTTGATCATCTATTGATGACCCAATCACAAGCAGAGACTGTCTGCTGATTAAACAAGGTTATTTGTTTATAATTCAACTATGTGGATGCCCTTATTTGGTCACCCAATCTTTTTTTCCTTTTTAGACAAAAAAACGTAGATGTTTCTTCACCATTGAATATAAATTCTACATCGTTTTGACAGATTCCTTGATTTGATGTTTTTAAATTTAGGTTTTGGCTGAGGAATAACTAACCAGAGAAAAGGCTAGTTAGAATATTTATTTTTAATTATTCTTTATTTCAGATTAAAACTATGGGTCCAAGAACTTTTACAGTCCCATTATTTTATACAGTTTTTTAATCTTTGCATGTTAGCCATACGTGTTAGTTAGGCGGAGAGACAGGGTTCTTTATTTATCTCACACACACAAAAAAAAGATAATACAACAACAAAAATAGATTATTTTTTATCTTATCTATTCTGTCCAGATTAGGCCTAAAAACCCATTGAATGTCAGGTCCTTCACCTGTGGCAAATCTTTAAAGCTTTTGAGACATCAGTAGTTTGACAACATTTCCAGAATGTATGGAGCTCATAATTTGAGACTGGTTGAAAAATGGGCCCCAAGTGGGAATTTCATTGGGTTACATAAAACCCTCATGTTAATTAATGGTATATCCTATCAGGTCAACGCTTGGCAATATATATATATATATGTATGGGTTCTAGATGCATTATAGATACAAGAGGGAGCCGTCCTACATAGGGCCCCCATTGAAAGCTGGTAGATAGAAGCCAAGTGTGAGGCTCACATTAGGCCCACTATGCTCATACACCCTGAAAAACCCAACTTATGCTCACATATGCAATAACCCTAACCCTTTTGCTATCCATAACATTTCCAAGTTCTTGGGACCAAAGCTAAGTTCCCTTTTTAAATATGTTTTCAACAATGTTTGGCTTGGGTGGGGGGTATAACTGGTAAATAGCCTACAGCCGTAAGCCTGAATTTGGAAGATTTGATTTCACTTCTTTTTCAAATCATTTTCCATATTTTTAACCAATTTAAGTTCCTCTGCTTTAAAGGCAGTTTTATAGCAAGAGATAAAAAACTTAATTAAATGATTAAATCCCATCATCAAGTTTTCAGACTCCCCTATAGACATTTCCATGGAGTTCCAACATTTACCAATGGGACCAATGTAACAGGTGAATATTATGGTTCAGATGTGATTGCCCTCATCTTTGTTTTTGGCCCCATATTAGCAGTCTACACAGGCTTGCTGTATAGACTCATCTGGGTAATTTTGGGGACGCATATTTCTTGATCTGTTGTCCAATTTGAACAGCTTTCTTATACCCATATGAGATCCATCTAAAACCTACATGAATGCCCAACTCAATCTATTCAAGCCAAGCGAGTCACCAACACAAAGCCAACTGTGAGTCCAGGGTCACTTAGTGCCCATCCAGTCTGAGCAGCACCCATATGGGGTCTGAATTCACTCATATTAGCGGTACGGTGATGCTGTTGGCTGGGCTTTATTATCCATGGATTTTTGATAATGGCCATTTTAGTTTGGGCAGAAGTTGTCTCCATTTGATCCAGATATGGTTTCTAGATAATGTGACTTTATTCTGCCCAGATTAAGTTTCACCATCCTTTGATGTTCGGCCTCTTTTGTCTCTTTTTCTAAGAAATTATCAGCCGGATTTTGATATCAACAGAAGTCTGAAGTAAAAGTATTTTCCTCTTTCACTTTCAGTCACAGTTGGACTCTTTTTCGAGAGTTCTGTAAATACAATTTTGCATAATTAGAGGAATTATAACCTACTAGAGGCCTAATTCATCTATTGTTTTTATTCATGGTTTTAACTTTTGAATTTTCAGAAAAACCACAAAGCAGAAATGGTTTACATTTTTTTTCTTTTTTTTTGGGAGGATTACCCTAAATGTTACACTTAAACATTTAGGATTACCCTAAATGTGACCCTCATCTTATTGGTCACATTTATGATTGTATTTATTAATGTCCATTACAGATTTAGGTTAGATTAACCAGGGTGCGCCTGTTTATTTTTTATTTATCTAACTCTCCTGAAGCTAAATGACATAAATAAATATAAAAACACAATTTGAGTCGGAGTTGCTCATGAATAATACATCGTTGCATGTGTGCATATTAATAATTCAAACAAACTACTATATCTACTCAATTATCTTTAGTATGAATTATTCACCTGCGCGGATTGCACGCTGGCAATCTGAAAGAGGTGTTTGGGTGTGAACACAAGTGGAAGGCTGGAGATTTGGGTGATTTTAAAACCAGAGCGGAGGGAAGGGGGTGAGGAAAACATTTCGTGTTTCTAATTGGATCCCAGGTTAACAGATGGGAGATATTTTGGAGTGTCAAACACAATCGCTGTCGGCTGCAGGAAGACTAAAAAGGGGCTGTTTTATTTCTCTCCAGGACAAAGTGGAAGCGGCAGACTGCGGTCGGTCTGGAGCTGCTGGCGGAAGCTGGGAACTACTCCGCCCTGCAGAGAATGTTTCCGTCCCCGTATTTCTACCCGCAAAGCCTGGTGTCCAACCTGGACCCTGGGGCGGCCTTGTACCTGTACAGGGGGCCCTCGGCGCCCCCGCCGGCCCTACAGAGACCTCTGGTTCCGCGGATCCTGCTGCACGGCCTGCAGGGGGGTGGTGAGCCCCCTCCACCCCCACCGCCTCCTCTGCCCCCCATGTCCGGAGTGCTTCCCCGGCCCGCTCAGCAGCGGTGAGCTGGGCCCCCTGCTGACTTTCCTCTTTTCTTTTCAACACTTTGGACCCGTTAGAATAAGCAGGACAAATAAAGAGAAAAAGATCAAAGGACGAGAAACAGTTGGGCCTTTGTGGGAAAAAACAGGACGGAACTGATCCGAAAAGACTAAAAAAAGAAAGATTTTTCTGTCTGTTTTTTTTATTATTATTTTTATTTATAATTTATTTATTATTCAGGATGCAGTAAAGTTAAGTATTTATTTACACCCAGTTTCAGTATTCGGATTCCGGCACTTCGACTTCCAGCCAACTATTATTATTATTATTATTATTATTATTATTATTATTATTATTATTATTATTATTATTATTATTATTATTATTTGCAGGTAATATATGGATAAATGAGCAAACTTTCGCTTATAAATAAAAAGTAGTCGTTACATCCAAAGGAATATTTTTGTTTTTCATTCATAAGTCCTTTATGTGTAAATAAGAAATAAGAAGACTTTTGTTTGTTCGATCGTTTACTAGTGTCTCCACTTTAAACCAAACCGGTGTGATAACACATATATGGGGACAAAGGATGGACTGGATGTCGAGATCCACAAACCTTGGTTGTTGCTGAATTAATTAAGTCAAATTATTTATAGTTAAGACTGCGGTCTTACCCCCTACAGATCTTAAAGCATCGCCTTGGTGAGAGCTCGTTTTGTACCTTTATCGATAATCGATTAATCAGACTTGAGGCTGGCGCTCAGGTAGGGCGCTGCCAGATGATTTGTTGACGTTGTGAATCATTTCTGTTATTTCATATGAAGCTGTGATAATAACTCCGTACTGTTCAGACTCTCCTTTATATTGGTGAACATGTATGTTGCAGATATCAACCTTGTGGAGTGATTTTGGTATAATTACATTTTTCAATTTCATTTTTTTTTCTTCTTCTTTTTTTTTTTAAGTTAATTTAGGCTCTGGAAAGAAGTTCCCTCCCAAAAAGTGGTGAAGTTTATTTTTTATCTTTGGATGAAGTTCACAGCAAAGGCTGGAGTGATTAAAAAAATAATAAAATAAAACCAGAAAAAGAGTCGGGGGGGGGTATTTGATGTAAAAGAGAATAACTTTTATAAATGTGGAAATAAAAAATGTCTTTCATTTAATGGCGCAAAACGCTGTGGAGTTTTGTGGGGAAGAAAACTGTGTGGAATCAACATGTTCCTTTTTTTCAGGGATCAGATCTGAGAAAAAATATACATATATAGTTTGTGTGTGTGTGTGTATGTGTGTGTGTGTGTGTGTGTGTGTGTGGATATATATTAAGTTCTACTATAGCTCATTGTGAGCTCAAAATTCGGATGTAAGTGATGTAAAAAAAAAAAAGAAGTTAATTTTTAATGTGATTCACCCCCAATACTACAAATGTGCGAAAAAAGTGCAATCAAATGTCCCAGAATATGGAGTCCAAATTGTTCCCACTTTCCCAAACAGCAGCGACTCCGACCCTTTTTCCATGAACAATGCAGGAAGCCGCATGAAATATTAATGTCATTCGTCGCAATTGTTTAAGTGCCTCTAAATGATCCCCATTTTGGAAAATTGATTGCTTCCATCCATGCAGTTCTTCCTTGAGAGGGTGCTAGATGCGCGCTCCAGTGCCAAACGGCTCCAACAGCTGGTGACCGGGCAGGAGCTGACTACAGACCGGGGATCAGAGCGAGGACAGCTGGTCAGCGGCGCCTCCTCCACCCCCCTCCCGCCTCCGCCTCCTCTGTCCTCCAAGTCTGCGCGCACCCATATGATTCCTCCGCGGCGCGTCAGGGGTTAAAGGAGTTCAGGCTGAGGGACAAGGCTTGGCGTACAGGATGTTAACGATGAGACAAAAGACTTTAATAGGTTTTAATTGAAAGTCGATAATGGGTTTGATAGCCAGCTCCCCCTGCTGTCAGCCGCGCATGGCACCTGTTATCTGGGAGCCCCTCTCCTCCTCTTGGTATCTGATCGGGCCGTGAAACATCAGACTGACGGGCTGAGAACTTGCGCTTTTATCAGGCGGAAAATTGCATTAAAAACACAGCTAACTGCGCCAGACACTGACACTTGGATAGTGTGACTGGTTCATGCATGCATGAAGTTTGGTGCTTTCAATGAAAAAGTTGCCATGGTGAAAACAGCATGTGGACATAAAAATGACCCAAAGAACACAACTGAGAACATGCAAACATGCATATAGCTAATGCCTTTTTCTTTAAGCCGCAGTTAAATCAATAGTGACCAACGGTCTCAACCAAAGGTCTACTATAGGATCAGTGACTGCTGCAAACTGCAGAACTAAACACACTATAGTCATGGCATATAACAATATATAAAGTAGAAAAAATGAAAATATTAAAAAGAAAATGGATTGAGAAATTATAGTTGAACTAAAATACAATACTATAACAAAGTAATGTCTTTGAAATAGGATTTTATTTACATTAGTATATATATTTTTCTTCCTTCTTCGCCTTTAGTGTCCATTATGATCACTAGTGAGTTTAACGTTTGCTGAAGGTTTTTTTTTTTTGCTTTGTTTAGACAACAGAGGATTTTTGTTGGTTTGTTTGTTTTTCTTTACTTTTCTTTCTTTATTACCTTTCTTAACCAAATCAATAAAAAAAATCAATCGGGGGCCATTTAGCTATATTTTGATTAAATGTTATTTTATATAAAATCGTATTTGTATGCTATTCATTTTGCTTAATTTTATTGCATAAACTAAAGGCGGTCATACTGTGTGGATTTTAGGTTTAGTTAGTTTTTTGGTTTAAGAAAAATCAAACAACCACCGAATGAAAAACAAAGTCAAATATTTTCTAGCACATTTTTAAACGATACATTTGTTTATATATTTTTTTTTTGGCCTTTTCTTTTTTTTTTTCTCCTTTTTATGTGCCTGTGGAACGCTTTTGTCAGTATTGATAATTTAATTGCCATGACAGATAAAGGCAATTTGGAAATTTCGCAACTCATTTGATTACTGTTACTTGCTTCTTTACTTTATTCTTAAACTGAAAACAAGATGCCTGATGCCTGACCTGGAGCTGCCAGGATACCTGAAGCATCAAAACAGCACCTGCTGTATGTGAGGATAAAACAAGGACCCAGCAGCGTTCAAAAAAAAAAAAAAAAAAAGAAGAATTCACTTGATGGTGAGATCGGATAAAGAGTAGGAGGGGGAAATACCTCCCAACTTGCCAAAAGATCATTATATTCCCATCATGTGGATCCGTGACCGATTCAGATAACGACTGCGCATTTTCTTTTAATACTTGCAAAGTGCGCAGCTGATTATCGCAGGAATTGGGGCCCAGTGCGTCCTGCTTGATGACTCGGAGATTTTCCTTTTATTTCCATGTGAAAGGGGGTGCTGGTAAATCCCCCGGCTCTCAGCGCGGATTGTCCCCGGCTCAGGGTTAATGAAGTGCGGATGGAGTGTGGTTAAGATCCCGACAGACAAAAAAAAAAAAAAAAGATTTATACTCTGAGGATCAGTGACTCCTCCTAAAAAAAAAAAAAAAAAAAGATTTATACTCTGAGGATCAGTGACTCCTCCTAATCCAATGGACCTCTAATGATAATAATAATAATTCAAAGGAGAAACAAAAACAAGAACAAAACCCTTTTGATGAAATTAAGAGCGAATCAACGCCTGATTTAGATTGTTTCTGTTTTTATTTTTTATTTCAGTGTACCAGTGAGGAGGATCTGCATTAGATAATTATCCTTGTTGCATCATGTTTTTAAAAAGATCTACAAGGGAAGATAAAAAATACATCAATTAAAATGTTCCACAATAACATGGCCTATTTTATTTTTTTAGCCACAAATGAAAAAGACATAAACTTACAGATTGGTGCACAAAATGTGCTTTAATGCTGTTTTTTTTTTATATCTGCTCTTAGTTGGATAGGAACAACATCTATGCACACATACCCACTGCTTTGCTCTATTTAGGTCATTTGGACAAAGGTTAAAAAACAAATTCATTTATTGGGGAAAGATTTGCACAAAATATTTCACTTTAACTCAAAAATATTAAAGCTACCTGTTATTGTTGGATTTCCCTTTTAGCATCACTGTGAAATTTATTGGCAGCTTTAAGCAAATCATTGTTAGTTTCTGATGCTTTACAGATTAGAAGAAAACCAAATGTATGACAATGCATCCATATTTGTTGGGGAAAAAAGCAGAAAAAGATAGAATCAGTGAATTTGATGATCAAGTTGTGTGGTAGGATGAATTAGGGAGAGCACTGGGGGAATATGTTTGAAGGGGAAGGAAAAGGAGATCTAGTTCTTGCCTGGAGGTACGAGAGGAGGCCGTGAGCAGGAATGAAAGCCTGGTGGAGTGTAGGGGATATAACCCCACTAATCATTTCCCACAATATGACGGAGGAAAGAGGAGAAGAAAACATACAAACTTGGGTCAGGGGCGTCAGGATTGACATCCTGATCTCAGCAAATAATGAAAGCTTTCCTCTCGGATCACAGGGGGAGTTAGGGAGGAATACTGGAGAGGATAGGAAGGGTTGGAAAGGGAAAATAGAAAGAGGGAGGAGGTTTCTGCCTCACAGCCACACACACAGCCTAATGCATACTAGATTGTCCTATGTTACCAAAAAAACCAAACAAAAAATAACAATAAAACTGTTGTGGCTAGTTGACTTTTAGCTGTTTTTTTTAAATCTACCTTTTAATAATAATTAAGACCCTAAGGTCAGTTGTAACCAGATATATAAATAACAGGTTACTTACCTTACAGCTTACTGACATTGAATTTGGATCAACTGTTCCAGTGTTGGGTCAGTTAGGATTGGCTAAATACCAAACATAAGTAAGGTGATCTTTAAAAATGGTCATTAATTAGCATAATTGTCTTTAGTATTTGCAAGGAAATGTCTTCTTAATTGTATTGCTTTGGTCAAGTGATCCATGATTCTTTACAAAAGCTTCTCAAAACAGTTATCTGTATTTATGGCCGCTTCTTCCTGCGGGAATAGGTGGAATTGATGCAGACTTGCAAACATTTTCAAGTTTCTATGTGATTAACACATATTAGGAAGTCCAATTTATCCTCTAGTAAAAAGGCTCTGATAAAGTTTGGTTTGATATTTCAGAATATTTCTCATAAAAACAGCCTTGCAATGTGCCTCACGATTGGCACAGTCTTCTCAGGTTTAAAAGTTTCCATATTTTCTCTTTATCATTAAGGCTTAGCACTTATGTTTTACTTTCAGCAAACGAGCAAATTCTCCAAAAAGTTGTCCCTGAGTAAATTTATAAACTGTAGCCTGTCTTTGTTTTCCCCTTTAACGGTTATGATGTATTCCTCCCCCAGGGCTTTTATTTTAAGTTACATTATGAGATGATTTGCTTTTGTTTGGGTGACTGATGCATTTCCCACCAAATGTGTTCCTGTCTGAGGCACATAACCATCATGAGTGGACATTTCAGTGGGGTTTATACTGTGTTGATGGTTTTGCTATGTGGCTCCTTCAGGTATTTGGAAACTATAAAAATAAACCATGTGGAGACCCATGATTGGTTCCCCTTCCATTTCTTATGATTTTATTGGCACAAAATTAAGCCACATGTTTTAAGCCTTTGCCTTATAATACAACCAAATGTGTTTCTGTTTAATCTGAAGATTATTATCTACCAAATGTTTTCAATTAAGTATGCTTGTCAACATTATTTGACATTATTTGCTTACTTGGTGTAAGCAAACGTTAAAATTTAGAAGATTTCTAAAGAGATTATCGTTATTGTTTTATTGTGACACGTAGGACAACGTAATAATTTGGTAACTCTAACTTACCTCAAACATTAAACATTTAATCTTATTTGATGTCAGACAGAGAGGACAAAATGTTAATCTCATGTTAATCTGGTTTTAACTGTTTTTCCAATCAAAATATTGTTCAGAGTGACCACTGCACAGCTCCTCCACGCAGCTGTCATAAGTTGGTTATGTAGTTCACTGACCTTTGACACCTCTTCTCTCAAGTCTCTCAACCCCATTTTCAGTCAAATGACTTCCATACAAAGGCCTCTAGAGCCAAAAGATGCATAATTTGACATTTTAATAGAATTTAGTTTTTTTGTTTAAACAAAAAC